CAAACAAGAAAAACATCCAAAAAAAAAAAAAAAAAAAAAAAAAGGAGACAGAACAGAGATTAGTACACAGACTTTCCTTCCCTCTCTGGCAAGCACACAGGCCCCATATTAAAAATTTTAAAAATAAAAATAAGCATAATGTGTATATGGTGCACAATAGATGTAAGGTACTCTTCAAAGTTCTTGGTTCATTTTTTTAATAATTATTTCAACTTTATTATTATTTAAATAATTCTTTTTTAATTATTTATTTTATTTTACTTACAATCATTATTATCATTTTTCATTTGACCAGAGCGAGAGAAAGGGAAAGTGAGAAAGCAAGCCATCAGGTCCAGGACTTGAACCTCAGCCAGCCGTGTGGAAGTCCAGCGCCCCAATCACACCACCCGCCAGTCACTATTATTATTATTATTATTATTATTATTAACCTGACCAGCAAGAGAGAAAGCTGCAAGGTCCAGCACTTGAACCTGGTTGGCCATGTGGGAGTCTGGCAATTTGTAGAACTTAAAGGCCAAACTCAGGGTCTGAGCTCAGTTACCACACCACACTGAACAAAACCAATGAAGAATGAGTCCTCCTCAACAGAGAAATGGAAGGGGGGGGGGCAGGACATTAAGTATGAGATTTGAGTTTGCCAAGTCCTTGGGCCCCACCCTCCCCGTTCATTTTTGAACACTATCCAATGCCAATTCAACGTTAAAAGGTATAACTTAGTGGCTTTAGGAGCTGGACTAATGAGTCAAGACAAACCAGTTCTTACGGGCTGCTATTAGGGACAGACTACCTGGGTGACCTTACCCTTTCCAAACTTCAGTTTCCTCATCTGCACAATGTGAATCAGAACAACACCTACTAGATGTGTTTGTTGCTCTGATGTGATTGTTATATACAGGTTTTGGGGGACCACACTATATCCCATATATATGTGTGTGTATATATGTATACATATGTGTGTATATGTACACATATATGTGTGTGTATATATATATACAACTACTATATGTAAACTAAAAATAATTTATTAAAAAAGTGTCTTTTGTTTGTTTGTTTGTTTTTTTTAAAAAGAATATCACCTACTTCAAGATGTTTTAACTATTAATGCAAAGATGCAGGTAAATTATGCAGTGAGGTGCTAACTTAAATTGCAAATAAATAGCGCCATAAAAAGGGGAGGTAAGAACCACAGTAGAAAGCGTAGTTTGTCCCAGAGTGACCGAGCAGACGAGAGAGCAAGGACTCTCCGGGCCTAAGGGCAGACGCCCCCCGCCCACTCCCGTGGGCCTATCCTTACCGCTCTTGGGTTTAGACTCGCCGGCTGGCCCCGCCGAGG